CTTGGGCGCAGCTTGGGTGCAGTGGTGTGGGGGGTCTGAAGGCGCAGAGGTCGATGACGGCGATTAGCAGCGGGTACGGGTCTAGCGTCGGGCCGACGAACGGGAACGGAAACTCAAACTCGAACTCGCATTCGCATTCGCATTCACATTCGAACTCGCTATCCTACACCACCTCGCAGAACCAGTCTCCTCAACCTCAACACCAGTCTTCCCAACCTCAACCACAACTGCAACACCAACTCCGAAACCAACCCTCCAACCCCACATCCAACGCTGCCGCCCTCTCCCTCGCCCAAGCAGAGCGCTTCAGCGCCGCCACCAACACCACATCCACAACGACAGACGAGGACTACTACAACTCGTACTACGCAACCCTCTTACACAGGCCCGGGTCGGAGCGCGTCCCGCTCAGCCAGATACCGGACGTGCATCCGTATCAGCAGTTGGCTCCCGGTGTCGGCCCGGGTGTGGGAGGGGGTATGGGAGGGACGGAGCCATCGATCCAGGACTCGCCATACTCTGACTCGTCGGAACGACGGCTCCTACCGAACCAGAATCGGAGTGGGCATAGGTATAACACGTCGAGTGGGACGAGTAATAGCGGTGGTGCAGCAGCGGCGAACGTGAACATGAAGGGTGCGATTGCACGACGCGACTTTGCGTATATGGGCGGGGCTGGAGCGCTTGTTGGAGTTGGAGTTGGTGCGCTTGCGGTTGGAGGACCCGGAGGAGCAGGAGGACGGGAAGGTGGAGTAGCCGGCGGAGTGTCGCGGGCGAACTCGACCTCGACCTCGAACACTGCGAGCACAACCTCGGCTTCCGCTTCAGGTTCTGGAACGGGCACTTCGCATGGACGCGGTCTTGTGATGACGACGGCCAGCCAGCAAACACAGGGACATCCGTACGCCAGCGCGTACGCCTTCCCCTCGCAGACCCGCGACGATCCTTACAGCCCGCACACACCACACTCCGCACCTATCATACACACACCCCACTCTCTGGACGGCGTACCCCGACTCACCATCTCGCCCGTCGACGCGTCCAACCCACACCCAAATTCCTCGCACCTTACCCAGCGCCGCCAACCCGCAAGCGCAGACGCCGCACACCACACCTTCTCCTCCGTCTTCTCCTCCCTATCACCCCGCTCTCACACCTCTCGCCTCAACTCCCAAGGGCGGTTAGGTGGTTTTGCGACAGGTGGTCTCGTAGGTGGATTAGGATTGGGCCTGGGAAGGTACCTGAAGAGCTCGAGCTCGACGCCGAATTTGCGGGAGAGCGTCATCGCTATCGACGCTGCTGAGGCTGCGAGGGCAGGGCAAGAGAGTGCAGGTGTAGACGGCCCACCGCCCTATGCGAGCCCGACGACGTGGGCGCATGCACATGGTGCTGGCGGTGGCGGGTTCGCGGGTCGGCAGGGGCAGGAGAGGACTGGTGGATCCTGAAGGGCAAGGGCGGAGGTCGACCCACCGCCGAGTGGGCATCCGTACACTACCGCCACCCCCGCTATGAACCAACGCGAAGAACCCGCTGCGATAGCTACGACTCATCTCTCAGTTCCTCCACAAAAACAACCGGCCACGGTACCGCCCCCGTTCGTACCCCCCAAAGGCCTCGACAAATGGCTCTCCGCCGAAACGTGGTGCGACGCCGTGCTCTTCCCGCGTCCACGGCTGCGGCTCAAACACGAGCTGCTCACGTCTTCGTCGTCGTTCGGTGACGGACACGGTTATAACAGGATAACGGACGCCCCACCTACGATCAACGTACCACTCACAGGGAGTGGGAGGATCGTGAGTCCGCCGGGGACGCCGTTGGGTATGGAGTTTGGAGTGGGCGCGGGAAGGGTTGAAAGT